TGTTTTCTAAGTTTATAGTATGTGCCAAAACCCCCCTTGTCCCAAGCCTGTGAGAAATATGCCAAGAAATGGAGGTCTTGATAAGGGGAGAAAAGGGATTAAATGAAAATTAGATTAAGGACCATCACACAATTTATGACATGTGACTTTTATGATAATTTATTGCAACAAAGCGAAATAAAACACTTACCTATAGCCTTGTCCTAATTTGGGTTTTAACCTAAAGTTGGAGTGAGAACTGTACTTGGGTGTAGATTAGCTGATTACATATGGGCTGGTTGAATGGAACCTCCTGATGTTTTGATAAGGAAGGTGATAAAATGGCAAAGGATTTAAGTCTTCAGTTCATTTCAAACACTATTTTTCTTCTAACCTCTTTTCTTAGTCTATACCTTCCCCCTCAAGGAAGGTCTCTAAATTTTCCCTGAGTAAAATCAGGGAGAAAGTTGAGACAAAAAAGTAGATGAATGAAAGAAGATAACTAAATTTTAAAAAAAATATGTTTCTATTGATTTCAGAGAGGAAGGGAGAGTGATAGAGAGATAGAAACAGTGATGAGAGAGAATCATTGATTGGCTGCCTCCTGCATGCCCCCTACTTGTGGGGGGGGGGCGGAGGGGGGCGGGGATGGGGGGAGGATCGAGCCCACAACACAGGCATGTGCCTTTGGCCGGAATCAAACCTGGGGCCCTTTAGTCCACAGGCCAATGCTCTGTCCACTGAGCCAAACCGGCTAGGGGCAAGAAGATAACTAAATTTGAGGAAGAGTCAAAAGTGCACCAGAGAAGTAGCTTCTTGGTTACCCTATTTGCTACACTTCTAATTTCCAGTTATCCATTGACTCATTTCGGTTTGGGGAACAAAAACAAAAGTGCATAGCCACCAACGTGATACTTGTATTCAACGTGGTAGGTGTATTCAGGTAGTCTTCGTCCCTTTGAAGCAGAATGAAGGTGGTATCTAGACATTCCCTTTCTACTGAATTTCTTCTTTAAGTTAGGGGTGCACATGGCTATTGAGCGGCTTGGTGTTGGGGTCATTCTTGAGTGTTTCTGGGGGACAGGCAGTGTAGCATCACAGGGCTCCAGACGCAGGATTGGAACCTCAGTGCTCCTCCTCATTAGCAGTGTGAGTCAGTACAAATTACTTGTCCCCTCTGACCTTCACTTTCTGCATCTGGAAAATGGAATGAATGGTATTTTTTAGAGTTGTTTTACGGATTGAGATTAATGTTTGTGAAGTACTTGGCACATAGTAGGTATGAAATAAATTCTTATCAACATTAACATTCTATACATTTTTACATTCTGAAAGGGAAAAAAATCTCTGTTCATTGGTCCCTCCCTTTTCCTTTCCCTTCTTACATAATTGAGATAATTCAATTGTTTGTTGGTTCATTGATTAGTTAATTGGATATCAACCATGAGTCAGCCATTGCAAGTTGGTGCGGGAGATCCCGGGAGGAGCGTGACATCCTTGCCCTCACAGAGCCCATAGTGTGGTCCATGAGCCGCTGCAGCTGAGTGTTCTGGGATGCAGATCCCTCCGTATTTGAACCCTCCAGAAAGGTGGCAGCGACCAACATGATGTGGGGAGCTGGGACCTGGTGGTCCTGGCCCTTCCACAGGGCCACGGTGGCTGCTGCCACCACTGTGACTGCTCAGAGAGGTGGCCCAGGAGCTGATCTCTTTTTCCAAGTAGCTGCTCTTTGAAAAAGAAACTTCCCTATTTCCACCGTATTTTGGAGCTTGACCAAAATGTTTAGGTCAGAGGTTTAACTTTCTCAGTTCATGATGCCATTAGTGTCTCATTAATTTTTCCAACGCCCTTGACTAAAAGAAATGGCTAACCGTGTTTTTTTAATTTACTTTTTATTTTTTTTTATTAGTTAGGTCCACTAGTTTATGAGTGTGTCCTAACAACTTAGTAGCTGTTTGGAAAAAAAAATACAATAAATTGAAAGAAAAATAGTTTGATCTCATTCCTAAGCCCAATTACTTAATAATGGGATGTGTGCATCTCTTGGGCACTGCACAGCTTCTAAAACGTTGGAATCAGATTACAAACTGCCACTTCATTTTGTGCAGCAGTTGCTTTTTATCACAGTAACTGCTGAAATGTAGTTTCGCAAAGCGGTGATATCATCAGAAGGAATGTAGCTCAATCTAATGTTGAAATGTGAACTACCTTGAGCTAGGAGTTTGCATGATGTCCAACAGGTGTCTAGTAACACATGCTTTGCTTGGAAACTTAAAACATTCTGAAGCACACTGTGAACTCTCTTTGGTGCCCTGGGGTGCCTCAGTGCACAGTTTGAGAACCGTCAATTTAGGGATAAGAATCTGGGGATGTTTTGTAATCCTTCTGTAGCCATCAGCCTCCCAAATAGATGCCTTAAGGGCAGGTTAGAGGTTAAATAACTGTAAGGAGCCAGATTGTAATTTCACCACACACGGACAGGAGGCAGAGATGACATTTCAACCTAATTGGCAAAAGATGAAAATTCCTCCTTTCATTTATGATACGTAGCAGGGAAAGGTCTGGTTTTCACCTCGCAGCCAGCCAGCATTGCACCCTCTTACCAGAGAATCAAAGGATTAGCTGTTTAATACATTGCTTATTTGATAAGATGTTTTTACTTAAGTTTTTTGCTTGGCTCACTTACTATTCTCCCCACAGCGGCTTATATTCCATGGAGTGAGAATTTGCTTGTAAATTATTTTAGCATTATCCCTTCAGGCTTTGGGAGAAAACCAGGGTTATAATAAGGTTTATATCTTTGTGTAACAAGATACAATAGCCGTGCAAATTAGCTAGATCCTAGTAGAAATTAGATCTAGGTGATACAATAATTTTAATTTTTATGAGCTTCAGCTATGAAAAGACTTTCCTGATAGGAATTAGGAGATGTTTTAAAAATTGAGGTAGTTTTGGAACAATAACTAGAGGTGACCTGCTCTACCCAGTCTGAGGATTTCAGAGTAGAGGATCTTGGCAGACAGCTTTCCCATCAAAGGCACCTTCACTGTCTTACCCGGCCTATTTTCAAATGAATGGAAATCAGGGAGCAAGTCACTCTAGATCAGCGGTTCTCAACCTGTGGGTCGTGACCCCTTTGGCGGTCGAACGACCCTTTCACAGGGGTTGCCTAAGACCATCCTGCATATCAGATATTTACATTACGGTTCATAACAGTAGCAACATTACAGTTATGAAGTAGCAACGAAAATAATTTTATGGTTTGGTCACAACATGAGGAACTGTATTTAAAGGGACAGAAGGGCCCTAACCGGTTTGGCTCAGTGGATAGAGCGTCGGCCTGCGGCCTTGATTCCAGTCAAGGGCATGTACATTGGTTGCGGCACATCCCCAGTAGGGAGTGTGCAGGAGGCAGCTGATCGATGTTTCTCTCTCATCGATGTTTCTGACTCTCTATCCCTCTCCCTTCCCCTCTGTAAAAAATCAATAAAATATATATTTAAAAAATAAATAAATAAAGGGCCAGGAGGTTGAGAACCACTGCTCTAGATAATCCTTAAAAGAATGGACTGACATGGTGTCCTGAAAAGGGCCCCAAACTGGGTGTAGCAGATCGTGGTCCTGCTCCCAGCTCAGCTCTCACAAGCCCGGTGACCTGGGCCAGGCTTGTCCTGTACGTGCAGGATGCTCAGCATTCCTGGGCCTACTCAGCCATCACGTCAGCCAGAATGTTGCACCCCCCGCCCCCAATATATTTCCAAACACCCTAGACTACTGTGCTTGAGTTAGACTTGATTCCAGTCCTCATTTAACAGATGAGGAAAGTAAGGCTCAGATTAGCAAAGGGCCCATCTACGGTCAGACATACAAGCACAGCTAGGATCCAGGTCCCCTGCCTGCCTGCCTGGAACTCATGCCGTGCACAGAGCTGCCAAAGACATTTCTTTCAGCTCTAACAATTCAGAATTTGGGGGAATCAAAGGGAGATTGGAGTTACAATCATGAATAAACTTTGAAAGAAAATGGAAATGACAAAAATCCAGTTAACTTGCTAAAAATTTAGATTACTAGATCTAGAATAAAAGCTGCATGATGGCAGCTTTTTAATCTCTTGTTCACTGCTGTCTCCAACTCCTAGAATACTGCCAGGTGCAGAGGAGACACTCAGCAAATTTGTTGATTGCCCGGGTGCACTCTAATTTATGGGTAATATTTACACTTAGGTGATCAGTATTCTGGAAGGATATAAGTTACTGGATTCTTCTGAAGTTTGCTTAGCTGAACTTCATTTCATGTTACTCAGAACCAAATAATGGTCTACAGAAAAAATAGTGTCTGTGATGAATTCTCACTGGCTAGAATATGATATTGGGGGTGGTAGTATGATATTAAATATCTTTGTCATCACCCTGCATGTGGCTTTTTTGTTGTTGTTATGCATTTGAAATGCCGATCACAAAAGAGAGCATGTAATTGAGCATAGCCGGATGTCTGTTGCTTGTGTTGAGAGTGTACATTTCTGATTCCCAAGGTGGGGAAATCAGAAGAAAGCTATGCCTTTGATAACTGCGGCCTTCCCTGACCCAAAGTTGGAAGGCATCTCTCTCTTAAGGATCCCTCAGGCAATGCAGAGGCATGTGTGCCCTCAGCACCAGCTCCTGGGATCACAGCATATGGGGCTTCTATTGCATCATCTTTACAGAAGGAGGTTTACTGAAAGGTGAATGCACTTGGCAACTTTATTCCAAGAAATTGGGTGATGTGTACACAGTCTCCTTTTCACTCACAACTTTGTAGATTTTATTTTTCCTGGTGTTCAGACCAAGCTAGAGAAGGACTGAGTTGTTCAGAGTAGCATCCCAGGTGGGGAGAAGTGGAAAAAAGGAACCTCACCACCCGGAAAAAGGAACCTCACCACCCGGAGTCAGTTTTCAACCATTGCACCTCCTTGCACTCCAGCCCTGAGGGTGGGAAGGCAAGCGTGGTTTGAAATGAATGTTTTCAATACATTGTCCTTTCAGGAAACCTCTAGAGACGGTTAATGGTGAACAAGTGCATCCGACTAGTGGTCCCCAAAGTGTTTTCCAGAGATGATGAGTGCTATGGATGCTTTTCAAAGGGAGGTTTTGGCGATCAGACACATTTGTAGGGTCCAAGGCACCTTGGCCTTAGTAAAGGTCTGGAAGTTCTAAAGTAAAGACACATTCTGGTTTAACCTCCCAGCTCCCAGCTTTCTTCCTCGAAGGCTCCTTTTCCAGCATGCCATGTCTTAGCCCCTTTAAGAGCAGTGTGCCACCAACCGGCCTTTGAAAATACTGCCCAGAATCCAAAACCTGATTCTGAGTTTGCTTTGCACCTGCTCGTGGTCCTAGGCTAAGCCAGCGTTCCTCAACCCTTGATTTGGAGCTTTCAGAAAGTGCACATTCCCCAGCCCAGCCCCAGAGTTTCTGATGCTGTGTCTGGGCTGGTGCCAAGTTGTCTACGTTTTTGAGAAGCCCTGTGAGTGGTCTTTCTGTTTCTAGAGGTTGAAAACCACTCTCCTTGGAAAAGGTTTCTAAGTTCCACTTCTTTTCTCTGAGGCTGCAGGAGGTGTGTCCGCTTCATAATTCTTTTTGACGTTGAGTATGCTTCCTCAAGGGACTTGGTTTCACGATGAAGGAACACTGATGTGATGTGATGGCTCAGCCTCTGGGCCTCTCCCGCGGGGCATGCCTGGGCCTGGCACCGCTCCTTGGCAGGTGTGTCCAGGCACCGCTCCTTGGCAGGTGTGGTCCCGGACGTTGCTGGAAGGGCATAAATGGTAAAGAGGAGGACCGCTGTCAGGGTCCTGTTCCTGAGCGCCCCACGTGGGTGCTGCTGACCGGGAACCCCGCTCTGTCAGTAAGTGAGGATTTGGTAATGTGGCGTTGACCTGATGTTCCCTTGGAGAAATGCTCACTGTTACGGTTCTTCCCGTCTTATATCTCATGGCCTAACGTCTTCTAGAATCTCTGCTCCTCCCCATCATACCGTGAGAAACCAGGCAGGAAATAGCTGAGTAAGATTAGTGGTTTTAGAGTAACCACTCCGGGAATTAACACGGGGCTAGAGAAGCGGCGTGGTGCAGCCACAGGCGCTCGGCTGGATTTCTCCAAGAAAGGGCCCAGGCGAGAACGGAGGGCACTGAAAGTAAGTCAGAATCCACCCGATCTACCTACGCCGCCAAGGCTGTGTGACAGCTGGTGGGAAAGGCCCCAGTAGCTGCATGTTTCATCAGAAGCAGGAAAATCAAGCTTGTCTGCATGTGGTTGATGAGGTGCCTTGATGAGGATCATTTTTGCTTTTCCTTCTTCATTTATGTGTGGTCATTAGTCTTGCCGCAAAAATTGCACCACTAGTTACTCTAAAGGAAGGCAGCCCCCCTTCCTGTTCATTTAGGGTTGGAGGAGCGACCAGTGACTGGCCTGCGTTCTCTCTGGGGTGCTCTGAGTGATTCGCCTAAGTGTGGGCCACAGGAAAACAACTGGGAACCAATTTCTGCAGAGTGTTCCAAGCACAGTGTAATTTATTTTACATAAATAATTCCCTTATTTATTCCCTAGAACAGCTTCTGGAACTATTCATTATTAGTTTTTTAATTTATTTTTAAAAATACATTTTATTGATTTTTTACAGAGAGGAAGGGAGAGGGATAGAGTTAGAAACATCGATGAGAGAGAAACATTGATCAGCTGCCTCCTGCACACCTCCGACTGGGGATGTGCCCGCAACCAAGGTACATGCCCTTGGCCGGAATTGAACCTGGGACCTTTCAGTCCGCAGACCGACGCTCTATCCACTGAGCCAAACCAGTTAGGGCTCATTATTAGTTTTTTAAATAAAGATGAGACATGGCGGCTCGGAGAGAGAAGCTGTACACAGACAAAGAGTGATGGGGCCGGAATTCAAATTTAAATCCATTCAAGTCTGAAGTCCACTCTGATGTTCCCCCAGTCCATCGTGCTGTCTGTTGCTGGTACACATGGCAGTGGTGCCATCACTCTTGCATCTGAGTATCATCTTTGCAGTTGAGCAGGATAACAAGCTCTTAATAAAAAATAAAGAGATGGGCTTATAATGCTTTATTGCTTACTCTCTAGTGCTACAGTCATGAACCGAAAATGCTTTCTGTTACCAGTCATTCTGGGACAGACTCTGAAAGAAAAGAATATGGTTGCAGAGGATCGATTCATTTTTCTCTGTTGAGTCTAGTTAGGTTACATGTCGTTGGATTTTATAAATAAGCATTTGGTTTTTGAATAAGCAATTAATCGTGTTCACTAGCAGTGGGTCTCACGTCTAGAATTTAGTGGCATTAGCTAGAACTTTATAATGGCATAAACATTTTCCTGGAGGAAATAGAATATCACCATGTGATATAAAGCTAACATTAGCAAAATAAACATTAATCCGAGGTTGACTGTTAGCTTAAGCTTTCTCTTAATTCAAAATCCAAGCTAAGCCTTACTCTGTAAAAAAAAAAAAAAAAAAAAAAAAAAAAACACCCAAAAACTTTATTACCACTCAGTTTGAAATTCTAATGGGAAAATCACCATAGACTTGCAAAAATGCAGTATGAGTAATATTAACTGTCTCCATAATTTAATTACAGAATTCCAAATACTATTGCCTGGGAGGCACATGACTGTAAGCTTCCAGGTTGAAGGGCCACAGATTTCTCAAATATTAGCTCTGGCTGGTGATCATTTAGTTTGACTCTTATGTTCTACAGGTGATTCAAGTATAGAGGTCGAGTGACCTTTCCAAAGCCCCAAGGCCGGTCTCGCCATAGATAGTGTTGCCTTTAACTGGAGTATTTTGAAGAAACGCTTCAGCCAAGGCTATTAATGTAGCAGACTATTAGGCTTGGCCCACTTTGCGCTTCTAATGTGTCATTTAATCATAACCGAGCAACATGAACACATCCCAAAGCTGCAGACTGCATAGAGTGACAGTTGTCAGTGTTCAGCCTCATTGAGTTGTGTTCTGTCAAACCCACAGTAAAAGCAGGTGGCCAACAGAATTTGTAAACCTTTGGAATTTTATTCCAGTTGCTCAGTTACTACAGAGCAATCACTGGGTTTTTGTTGGCAGTTTCCACCTAAATATGGAGGCTGTGTGGCTTGTCTAGTGCAAGGTAGCGGGAAGGGGACCGGATAATGTAAATAAGCTGAAACCGAAAGCCTGCAAGTGAGCGTAATCCAAAGCAAGACCTATAATTGAAGTAATTGGATTTGTAATGGTTGACAATTTTAACACATTGTATGCGGGCCGTTTTTGCTAATTTTTTGCGCAAATGGCAACGTTCAGTAAAATTACGATAACTTTAGTTTTACATATTTTTTTTTCAATGAAACTTTTTGTGATTTACTATAAAATGTATACTGAATTATTTTTCTTAAATTTTAAACAGACAAATACTGGAAAACTCACTGGAAATTGTGTTTACCAGTCAACGTAAAACGTATAAATACGTTTCCCGTATACAATGTGTTAATGGAAATTGAATGTAGTTCTCTGCTGTTATGTTGTTCTGAATACTTGCTTCTTATTAACAGAATGGACTGAGACATTCGTAGCCTGGTAAGTTTTGAGAAAAGGTCACTTAGCATGAGATCAAATGACCTTACTTTTATTGTAATGTTAGAGGCTGGTTTGATATTATATATACTTCATAGGTTTGCACTGGGGTCAGTGCAGCTTAGAATGTTTTTTTCTCTCCAAAGTATGTGTGTCCTTGTCAGTGTCTGCCCTCTGTGGTCTAATTTGGCTATTGGGCCACTCCATTCACCAAGACTTCCAGCTGAAAATCTTTGGAGGCATCTCACAACGGTACCTGTTAAAATGTCTCTTTCTTCAGAGTTAGCATGTTAGTAAAAACTCTTTCTGCTACAAGATATAAACAACCCAGTTCATAATGGCTCAAGCAAAAAAGGGAATATATTGGTTTATATAAACATCCAGGGGTGCAACTGGATTCTGGGATTCCTTGGTTCAGGGACTCAGAGCTTTTGGCTCTACTCTTTATGTTGGCTTCATTTTAGGTAATAGCAAAAGTTACACCATCTCTAGATCTAAGTATTGCTGAAGGGTGAGCATGCTTCTTAACGTTTGAGCAAATCCCAAGAATGACTCTCATTGGCTTTGATTGGGTTATGTTTCCATCTCTAAACCAATCACTAGGCCT